CAACATTGTGTATTTTTCAAAGTTTGGTGTGCTGGTACTGATCTCTGTGCCATCTTTTTCTATGGGAATCGCACAACTGTGGACTAATTAGTGGATGGAGACTGTCAGACTTAGCTGCCCTGGAGACTCATTCTGTATTGAAGGTCAATCTTTCAGAGCAGGGCTGAGCATGAACTCCAAAAGAGCCTTTCCACTCTTCGGTGCGGTGCAGTCCTCCTCCTCTTCCTCACAATCATGTGCTCCGTGGAGGGTTGGGATTTGTGTAAGTCACCCAGTGACTGGCAGGTATCAATGCTGACTTCTGCCCTGGGTTCACTTGCCCTGATCCCACTGGCTTAAAGAAGGATAAAGAGGAATTGTCTGCTTCAGATAGCTGGCCTTGTGTCACAAATCCTGCTAGAATGCTAATGATTTTGACACAATCTCAGTTCAAACACAACTTGAGTCCCATGGGATTAGAGTCCAGAGCAGCCCAGGAAAGCTACGACTGTGGTGATGTGCAGTTACACATGCCTTCCAGGCTTCTGGAGCACTCTTCTATCACTGCATTTCCCTCCCACCTTTTACCTTTAAAGCTATCTGTTTCCTGTTTGCCCCAACTAGAACCTGATAAAGATTATTAATAATCAAGCTCTGGAGGAAGCAGAAAATAAAGGAACACCTACAGTATAAGGAAATCTGATCTCATTTGATTATCTGTTATTTATACTTCTGTCTGTCAGTTGTCAGTAAGTCACTTATTCTTTTAAGGGGTGTGGCGAGCCAGAGCATACCTCAGAATTACAGCGTGCAAAGAGGCACACTATCAGGGCTGTGGAGAATTCAGGATAGCCAAACAAACTTAGCCAGCATGCCTTTGAGTGATGGGAGGGACCCAGAAGCACCTAACACAAACCTCCATGAACACCCTAAAATCATGTGAACTCCACACACACAGATACCTAAGACCAATGAAACCCAGAACCCTGGATCTTTGAGGCTGCAGTTGTATCCACAACAACACTATGCCTCATCACATTAAAGCTCATGAATGAGATAAGAATAAAAGCCTGGGCTGGCAGGTTTTCAACACAGAAAGAAAAACAAGTATTTTAGGGGAGCTCGTTGAGAATGGAGTTTGTGCAAATCCGACATCTACAGATCTGCTGTATTTGAGGGACTGAGCCTAACCAGATGTGAAAATCTAACAGTCTTAAAAATAATGGCTAGATTTCATGCCAGTGTGAAAAAGTGTTGGGTGGTGGTGGGGGGGGGGCTCAGAGGAGGTTCTGACTTGGGCAGAGAGCATAGATGAGTGACCTGGGCCTCAAGTCAAACTGCTGTGTTCTCCTGCTACTGCTGCAGTCTGTCTGGAAACACAACACTGCTGTGGCTAAACACTCTTCTCATCAGTAACCCCCCCCAGCTAGCGTCAGCAGTCTGAGGTGTGAGACAAGGCAATGAAACCCTGAGAGAGGAGATGGAAAGCAAATAAAGAATCTCATACCAGCCTGCAGGTAATTACACTGCTGCGATTGTTCCTCAAGTGCAGGCTGAGGATCGCAAAAACTCCTGTGGTTTTCTGTGAAGCCTTGCTGGCTTCTCTCTGCCCGAAGCACCGGGACTCGCAGTCAGGTACCAGATTCCACAGGGTGGTGCAGCCGGGCCGTCCGCCCGGGCCTGGGGTTTAGAGACCCTCACAGCACACACACAGCACGTCATGGAAGCTTTTGCACAATCATGCCACCCCTGTCACCGAAATGGCGGGGTGGACATGTGAGTGTGTCGTTGTGCGGTTGTGTCCCTGAAAGCTCCCGCTGTTCCTTGTCATTAGTCCCTGCAGTTTGTCCCTGCTGTAGCAGTAGCCCTCGGCAGTTAGGTGAGTGTGAAAGATTTTGTGAGGATTAATTTGTCTTTGTAGCTGGAGGGGGCTACAAAGCAACACAAAATGCAACATGACTGGATGATAGTTGTCCCTTCTCAAGCTGTTTGAGGGGAATTAGCCTGATTTTCTAGTATGAAAGGAAATGGAAATGTCACGTACATGGGGAAAAAAACCCAAAATGTCCATCAATGTTAAATAACTTAAATATTACTTATTGACTTGCAAGATGGACATTCATTTAGTCTCCAACATCCACTTTGAGAATGTGCTGCTTTATTATAGAAGCCATCAGACTTTGTCTGTTGCCCTGTTATGAACTGCTGTCTCAGTGGGTTCCAGTTTTCGTTTTTGGATCCCTTAATTTTACACTTCTCAGCTTCTCATTGTGAACAGTGTATTGAAGCTGCTCTGTGACAGCAGACTGAAAAGGGTCTCCTCTTATCCTAAAAGAAGAAAGGCCTACAGAAGCATGAATACATTTTAAGCATTTATTTACTTGTCATTTACTTACATGGAACTTGGCAACCTCAGTGATATTCAAAAGCTTTTGACATCCAGAGGACTTTTTAGAGAAGAGACACAACAGTGAATATTGAAAGAAATATCTAATTCCCTTTACAAAGCTCTCAAAACATTCAAAATACCACAGAGATATCATTTATACCTGTCACACATAACTATATTATGACGACAGGACTTTTTTTCTTTTAAACTAATCTGCCCCAAGCAAAGATCTAACCGCAGACAAAAGGAATCCGGAATATGTACCAAGAAGTCCTGTCACTCCCATAACCAAGGAGTGAAAATAGAACTTTAGAAAGCAAAACTCCCTGATATGCACCAACCAGTGATTTAATAAGAAAATAACTGACTCTGTAGGTGCTGCTGTACTTAACCCTTTTCATCCTGGCCTTATCCAAAAAAAAGATTGCATGTTTGATGTTTTAATCTCTGCAGTATCAAATCTTGGCTGTAAAATGAAACCAACACAAAAATCACTAGCAGATACCATCTCAACAGAAAGAGATATTTAAGAACTGGTAGACAATAAATTCTGTTCCTTAATGTACTAAATATAGTAATGTATTTTCACAACGTACTGAATGTGTATTGGTAATTTGAATAGTCCTAGTAACGGCTGGAAAGCAAACCAATTCCAAATTTAAAGTGCTGAACAGTATTTTATATCATTACCTCCTAGTTAACACTATGGTAATGATTGTCACAGTGAAAGCTGTTGATGACTTATTGATGGTACTTCTGTGTTTGAGTCCTTTTTTATTTGCGTTGTACACTGTTCGGTGTGCTCATGCTGTGGTGTCTTAGGTTTCTGATTCATATTGCTACAGTTAATCAAATGAATTGTTTTGAATGCTCTTTTTCCTTCATTGTATCTAAAACCCATAAACAATTTGATATTCATAAAGTATTGCTTGGGAAAACAGAATTGAACAAATCAATATGAGCCCAAAGCTTTGCGAAAGGTCCTGATATGCGAGTCATTTAATGTTTCAGGGGACACAAAATAAACTTTATAATAGGAGACGCTGGAAAGGAAGCACAATATTGTAAAAAAAAGGTTAGGCTTGTCTGTGCTGCCTGATATTAGTATTGACTTCCTTATAAAGGCCAGTGATTACTAATTAAAGATGGAAGGCAAAGTATTCACTGGGAGTCGAATCTCATCGTGCTGCTTAATGAAATTTTGTGCTTGCCGGTGTCATTCTTTACTGAAGAGATTAAAATGAAGTCTTCATGCATTTTTATATCTTTCATCACCACTCCCTTTCATCTGAACAATAATCAACCTTAAATAAAAATTGAATTGTTCTTGTGTTCACACAAAAGAACATTAAGAACAGTTACAAAACGAGGGCCCATTTGGCCCATATACTGTAGTTTATTTGGTTTTTATTTCAGTAGCTAATTGATACAAGGATCTCATCAAGCCATTACTTGAAGGAATCCAGGTACCATCTTCAAAAGTATGGCTGGCCAGCTCGTTACAGACTCCCTAAGCCTTATGGGAAAAGAGTGCCTCCAGTTCTCAGTTTTAAAAGCACCTCCCATTTAGTTTCCATCTGTGTGCACTGGTTTATATCTGACTAGATTCTATTGAGGTCTACTGAGTTGAATTCGTGAATGCTTCTGAGGCTTTTGAGTACTGGAATCAAGTCCTTTCAGGTCCCTCAACTCACTGCCCAAGACTAAGAAAGCATCACTTCATTATGCATCACTGATGTACAGTATAACCCTACTATTGTCACTGCTGTAGATTGTGAATGCATAAGAAGATTAGTAAATCATTTTCATTCTGTGCACAATTAGTTGTAAAATGGTAAGAACGTTTTTTTAGAAAAGGGAAAATAAATAGAACAGATTTAGTTTTAATCAATGATCTTTAAAGAAATAGCTGAGAATATTAGCTCTTTATCTAGGAGTCAAAACACTTCACCGTAGTGCCTTTCCAATGAATTCTGACAAATACGGAAACACATTTATCATCATCAGTCATGTGCAGGAGTTTTCATTTTCTGTGTGGTTTAAAAGTGGCCCGCATGCCCACAGACTTTATGCAGCACTTCACTGAGTCACCATGTCTCTTACTGGAGCACTGGCTGAACACAGGGAGTTGGGGAACAAGGCACAGCTTTAAGTTGAATAACAAGGAAGGTCTCTTACGGAGGTGAATGCAAGCTTATTATCTTACTAGAAACAAGTCACCCCTTTGCAGTTTCAATCCGTTTAGTTAGAAATTAGGCTTATAGCTGGTTCTGGGGGCATTTCTTTGCTGTTTGTAAAGCCACTTTTGTAGTTGATATTCAACAATGTAGCATTATTTTTCCTGTTTTATTAAAGAGCCCAATTCATATGGTTTTCAGTCACTATGCTATTAGCAAGGAACCTGAAAACATTTAGCAAGCCATCTAAGGAGCCCTAACAGAGCAATGTAGGAGGCTTAAGATGAAGCATTGATCAGGAGTAAACAACATCTGCAGTATTGTGTTGACTTATAGCTCAACCCACAGGCAAAAATGTGTAGTGAACTATTTCTCCTCCTGATTCCACAGAACTGTCACCACCATAATACGAGGCAGAAGATTTCTGGGTCAAAAGTAACATTAATGAGACTTACCTGTTTGCAACAAGCCAGCTTCACTGTCCTTCACGTTGAAGTGCTTCTGAATGTCCAGGAGTACACCTGAAATTGAGAAACAAAACTGCAATTAGATACAAAACTTTTTTTTCTTTTTGCCCTTCCTAAAAAAAAAAGTACTGCTAGAGATCTCTGTTGTAAAGTACACTGTAGATGCATTTTTCCATTGATAATGTAAGTAAGCTTGCTATCTGTATAACAGACCCATAGAGTTGGCTTGGGATTTTTAAAATATTCATCCATCAATCCATTTTCTTACCGCTTTATCCAATACAGGATCACAGGGGAGCCAGAGCCTATCCTGGCAAGCAATGGGCGCGAGGCCAGATACACCCTGAAGGGAGGCCAGTCCATCGCAGGGCACACACAGACGCAAACACACACACTCCCGTATAATTTGCCCAGAAGCCAAATAAGCTTTGGACTATGGGAGGAAACTGGAGCACCCAGGGGGAGCCCACATGGACTGGGGATCATACAAACTCCACACAAACAGCACCCCAGGTCCTGAATTGAGCCCTGCTCCCCAGCGCTGAGGGGCAGAAATGCTAACCACTGGACCACCATGCTGCCCTGAAATGTTCGTCACTGTCTATGTTTATCACCTTTGCACAGTGATGCTTTAACAGTGTATTTCAGTAGAGTCATGCGCTCCTCTGTCTGGCATGGACTCCAATAAATAACAGAAATGCTGATAGCTTTATTGCTCTTGAGTAAATCCCACCTCAAAGATTTCTGCACAGAATTTTGATTCAGCCATTTCACAGAGATTGATCGAACGCATCCTGTCCCAAATGTCCCCATGCAATCCAGTATAATTACACTCTGCCATTATGGGACTGTGAAGTCAGTGGAGCTAGACAGCGTCTGCTTTTCCATCCAAAAATACATCTCTGATTACACTGAGCCCTCCCTTTTCATTCTGGAGTCCACGAAGAGAGGCTTGTTCAAAGTAAAGGTGTGTCAAGCGTTTTTTTCCTTATAATTTCTGTGGTGTGTAGTTCTAAACTTTACAGCAACTTCAAATCACAATGCCACCATTTTGATAATTACCAGATTGTAGAGCATTACCTTGAATACTTTACACATAGGAGTCTGACATGCATGTCAATCTGCTCATTTTGCGATGCACATTTGGTAGTTGCATATCATCAGCTCAAAGCCTAAAATAGCTTTTTTATTCTTTTCAAGTGGAAGTTGTGCATTCACACATTAATATGAGAATCATAGGGAATTCCTGTTGCCCTTGTCATAACCCTGCTTTAAGGAACCTGCCCTTAACTGTAATGGTTTCATGCTGGCAAAGCTTTGCCTTCTATACTTTTTATTGCATTGCACAGTTGGCAATATTCCTGCAAGGTTGCAATTATTGTGAAAAACAGATCCACCCTTTCATCAATTCTAACTCGGTGTATTTTAGGCAATATTCTTGCAGAATATGTATTTTTATACTGTATATGCACAAAATAATTTTCACAGATTATACTAGATATTCACACATTTGCCTCCTGCAGTTACAGTTATAAAAATAGTTGGGCAAAGGCTACAAAACAGCGGGCACCCTTTGCATTGCAGACACACTATTGTTGTCGCTGTGGCTCTGTGGCGTTTTCTTGCCCAAAAATAAGACCAGTTGCCTCACTAGTTTTAAGTAAAAGGGGTCACAGAATTCCTGCAGTTCATCTTTGTGAGTAATGAAATAAACCCCAGATTGAACAGCGATGCTGGTGTCATTAATCTAAAAGAGACATACTATTTAAAAGTAATATTCAAGAAACAATTGCAGAAACACGGGAATTATGATTATTATGTTCTGATTTTTCAAAAAGCTGTGCCAGCTATAAATGAATGGCAGGGTACCTTTTCATTTTTAAAAAAATGGTAGGTTTCTAATTTTTAAGTCCAAGGTGAAAGTGTTCTTGTCTTAAAACAATTTCCGTAACCACTGTATCTATTGCCTATACTTCACATAAAATATGAAGCACAGACGTGGAAGAGTACCTAGCAAAAGCACTGTGTTATACTGAAGTCCCTATCGAATGATAGAACACCGGCTTTGTCTCCTCACTGGAAAAGGAAGGACTGATCTTGAATTAAAGAAAAGCAGATGTTTTCAGAAAGAAAACTGACTGCCTTTGCAAATATAGAAGTAACCAACTTCTGTGCGGTATGAACAAACCCTATACATATAGTTAAACGAAGAAATGAAAAGGCTTGTAGATGTGGCGTGTGAAACTGTCTTTCATCACACCACAGCGCACGGACAGCGTCAGAAAGGCGTGTCAAGCGATGGTGTTCTTTATTATTCACAATTACTTGTGGAAGGCCATGTAGCTGGGTATTTATCATTGTAGTTGACTTCTCGTTGTAATAAAGATTTCAGCTCCAGTCATGCCTGGAATGTGAAGCGTGGGGATTTACTGACACTCAGCACTATGGTTGAAAATTCTCAGGTGCTGGAGCTACTGAAGGCCTTGTCAGTCAGTACTGCTCCACAGATGGCATGCACGCCGCAGGGAGGGGATTGGACCCATTCTATATACTTGTCAAGCCCTGGAATCAAGTAAAGAGGCCCTTCATCTCCCTACTTAACAGTTAATTTGATGCATCAGGCACACTCTCATTATGAGGTTCCAGCTTTCTCGTGCAGCAGAGCTGCTGAAGGATTAGGCATACATGGGAGTATTTTTCTCTCACACTACAGGATGGCCATGCAATCTGTGTTAGTGTCTGACAGGCAAATTGACAGGCATTGAACAGAGCTGAATTAAGTATGTCACCTGCTGCTTGGAGATTTTTATACCCATGTAACTCTGCTACTACACATTTGGGATGAGTCTTAATTAATGGCAAAAAAATGTATAAAGGTCAAATATGGCCATTAATTCTGGACAAGGCAAGCTGTGTCTGCATAATGTGTCTGGGACTGCAGATCTGCCCGTTAATATAATTATCTCATCTTTTTTTCCAGGCACTGTGTATAGAATAGCTTTGTAAAACTGGGCATGTTGTATGCCATTATGTTTTGACAAGCACTGAAATATGCTATGTTAGAATGTGAATATTTTTTTTTATTTTTAACCTGATATTGTATTCTTGTTACATGAGAGAGTTTAGAGTGCATCTTTCACTGCTCTGTATTGATTGTCTTTATACGTACTGTATATAAAATACAGAACGCAATAGTATCTCCACTTACATGTCAAAAATTACTACAGCTTTCCAGTTTCATATTTATTTTCAAACCCACAAAAATTCAGCGGCAAAATGTAGTGAGTCTCATAACGGTCTGGGTAGAGATTCAGTCTTTAAAGCTGGCACTAAGCTCATAGAGCTACTCTTTTGGGCTCAGAAAAAGGAACATTTTAATGAGGTCACTTTCACTGTGAAACTGGAAAAGCGTAAAAATATGCAAATCCGCACACACGCACATGAGTCAAAAAGGAAACAGTCAAATAAAAAAAGCCAGACCAGATGGCTCACGTTTCTAGGTCTTGTAAAAAAACCACTTTTCACACTTAGCTCCTCTTCTTACAGCCAGACTCTAAACTAGTCCTCTTTGCCTGCTTTATGATTCTCCCCAGAATCTGCAATACAGGACAAATTGCTTTGAGGAGCTGATGAAGCCAGACTGAGAAGAGCCTGGCTATCTCAGGTCTCATTTAGGGAACACTGCCCTAATCTGTCTAGTCCCTTGGGATCTTTGGTTATCCTGTGACTGACTCTCCTCACCCTGCTTCCAATTAGGAGATCTGAGGGCACCTCATCCTGCCTGATAATCACCCACGTGGATAAACACTGTGGTGTTCTGGTGCTCTTTTTAGATTTTCCAAAGCTGTGCCCTGTGGGTTACCTGACTAGAAAAGATGTAAAAGATAGAAGTGATCAATATATTATGCTAAACGCATAAGTCACTAGTGAAAAAGAATATTTTCCTCTGTCCATCTGTCTGATGAATAGTCTTTGCTGGTGTTGTCTTTTTGAATTATTCATTATCACTGAAGAAGGAAAAAATCGACACTAGGGAATGTATCAATAAGGATAGCTGGGAAAACAACATTTCACTAGGATTGACAACAGCCAGGAATTAGGCATATTTAGAGGTTTAGTGAGTATTTTAAGTTAAAATTTGCCTTAACCCTCTTGACTAAGGGCTAACCTCTTGGCCATAAGACGAGGACACTGGGACCCCCCTGCAGAGTGGGGAGTGGCCAAGGGGCAGCTGCAGAGGTGGAGATGGGGTAGAGGAGGAAGGCAAAAGATGGACAGATTACAGATGGCTACAGCTGATTGAACTTGGCTGTTCTCATCCCTCCCAGACGTTCGCTAGAAACTCCATGAAATCAGCTGCATGTTGCTGTCGATACAGGGTGTCCATTCATCCCCCGGGGTGCCGGTGCCCCGCTTCACGCGGATGCGATGCAGTGGAAGCGTGCTTGTCTCGGGGGCTGCCGAGCCGCTCTAATTAGATGGCAGTGTTAGCTGGCTGCAGACTGATTGTGAACCTCGACTGTCCCACTGAGAGGAAGATCCCACGCCAGATGGTGTAGCGTCTTGCTGGCGGCAGTGGGCACCTGCTATGGGCATGCCTGTCCAGACTGGCGCCACAGCGAAATCTCCCAGGAGCCCAGGGAGGTGTAGAAGAGAGGGTGTGAACACACACACACAGGCCCTGCTCGGCTCACCCAAACTCCATAGCACACCAGCCCCTCCCTCTCCCCCTACACTAGCTTGCTTACCTCTCCCTTGAGACGTACAGTACAAGGCCACGAATGTTTTAGATTGCATTTCTCTGCATCCAATAATTCATCAGGGAGGATACTGAAAGGGTTGACTGGGGTGGCTTTTGAGTCCTTTATTTCCCTGCCCTCCCTGTCTTGTTCTGCAGAGCAATGGCAAGGTTACAGAAATCCCAATTAGCCATGACTCAGAAGACTAGCTCATAGAACCCGCAGGAGGAGACATAATGATACAGTACATATAGTGGAATTTTGGCAAAGTAAACCATGTTATGCTGTAGTTCACTGTGGTCAATGCTGTAGTTC